CCTACACATCATAATCTTTCCTGTATCATACAGGACATTCTTGTCCACTGGTTGCCAATCCATGACCATACCTTGAGCTTTCTCCCTGGTAATAGCAAATACTGCATCATGACCTTGACTAAAGTCTGCAATCCACTGCCATTGGCCTCATTGAAACAAGACTCAAGATGAAGTTAAGACAATAGACAGCTTTTGCTCACCATCACTTAACAGGCTATATTGGACAGCTTACCTTGTGCTTACGCTTGCTTTTAGGGGCTGGCTTTTCCACAGCTACAGGAGCAGTCTGACGCTTGGGTTTTGGGGCAGTCTCCTTGTGATCTGGCTTGGAAGATGCTACTTGGAGTATATTGTGGCCAGGTACCCTAGAGAGTAAGTCAAGGTTAATCTTCACCCAGAGGTTTTTTGGATTCTCATGATCTCGTAGAGGGGACAGAAGCTCAGTCTGCACAACAGGAATGGGTGAAAAAGTTGGCTCCTCATTATTGCTGGATAAGTTGTTGCTGCTGTTGATGAAGGTGCTGAGGGTCAGGCTGGCACCACCACTTTCCTTGGATTTGGTAGTATTGCCTCCAGGAACAATGCAAGGAGGCAGGACTTTGATCTGCAATGTCTCTTCCTGATCTGTGTTGGAATCAGATGTAGATGAATCTGTTTCAATGAATTCCCTAGACTTTGGCACAATCTTGCCAGGACCTCTGTACTTCTTTTTCTCAGCAGCCAAGGGGATGTTAGGCCTTGGCTCTTTCCTAGGAACTGGTTTGTGGGCAGTGGCTTTGTTGCGGCCTCTTGGTGGATCAGGAGGCTCCACACTTTCTTTTTCTTTGGGAGTACTGCTGGTAATATTTGGTTTTGGCCAGGTAAACTCATCAGTGCTGGTATTCTTCTCAACTTTTTTGGGCTGTTTTTTCCCAATTGTCCTTTGAGAAGTTGAATCAATAGGTGCTGACAACTTATGCTTCAAAGCCTTTGTTTCTGGAGTTTTCTGAGTGGGCCGTGAACGGGCTTTTTCCCTAATGAGACTCAGGAGAGGCCTTTCTTTGGGTTCAGCCAGGACTTGGCTAGGATTTGTCTTCACTTTAATCTGCACTTCTACTGGCTGGATGGTTGGAGGGGGCAGAGAAATCGTCTCCATTGGTGTTTCATTTTGGCCACAAATAAATGACTTGTTCTGGGATGTCACTTTGTTAAGCCACTTATCCAGTTGCCACTTGTTGGTTGAGGGTGGTTCAGGCTGCAGATTGAGAAGTTGCAGAAGAATTAATTTCACATTTGTGAAGAATTCAGGAGAACCTTCTGAACCATGACTGGTTGCTAATCACGGCTTTGGATGTTAAGTGACTATTCACATATATACAGACACATACACTCCATAATAATCAAATGACCTGGATAACCAGATACAAACTGGCTGCTAAATAAGTCTACTTATTTAAACTAACACTCCTCCTCAGAAAATATTCTCAACTCTGACCAGGAAGGAATTATTCACAGAGAGATGTTCCAGAGGGTGGGCAAGGGTACCTGGGAGAAAAACCTGTTCCCTAAAACCTTTGGTAAGAAGCATTATTTAACCTCTCACCAGGAGGCAGAGGTAATGGTCTCAGATCTGGAAAAGAAATGTTACATGTGCCCCAAGCATAATTCCAAAGGAAGGGCTTTTCGTTTGTCCATGGAAGTGCCAAAGTCTCTTCTGTGGCACTGTAATTCACTGCAACTACAACAGGCCTTCTGGCCTTCTGCATTTTTACTGAAGGAGGGAAAGACTGGACTTCAAAACAAAACAAATAAACCAAAAACACTGCATTTTCCTTGGTGTATGGGCAATAACCAATTTATGGGGACATGCAAACAGGCAATAGTATCCACTGAGTAGCCATGGAAATGACATGTATGATTCAGGTCCTTGCTTCTCAATTCTGAATTCTGCCAGATGAACTAAAAGAGCCATCATTTTTATTAGAAGAACTCTTCTTTTGAAAGCCATCAGCTGAGGCTTATGGCACCAGTCAATAGAGGGTGACAGAATTAAAATCACTTGAGTATCTGACATTCCACAGAGTGAGAAAATCTTTCCTGCTGCCACTCCTGGCAGAAAGGCTCTTAGATTAAGAACATCAGCTTAGGCAGCACTGATGTGAGGTTCAGATTTGGCTCCAACAGGTGAGTTCACCTGTGAGAACTTGGGAATGATCTTCTTTAACCTATCAGAATCTTATTTCCTCATCCTGATATCAAACAGAGATAGTAATAACAAGTATGCTATAGGACTGTTACAGGGTCAAATGAGAACGTGCAAGTCAGGAACTTAGCCTGCTGCCTAGCACATGGTCTGTGTTTGGTTCTGCTGTTGTTAACAGCATGGTTTATTCTGCCTCCTTCCATTATTCTTCTCTAGCTACTGAAGAGTATTAAATACAAGAAGAACCGAGGAGGTGGGTGGGATGTACTTATACCAAGTGCAGGCTCAGGGCAATTGAACAGTTATCCTGGACTTAGAGAGGATAGGAAGTGAAAAGCTAATTCTTTCATTTCTAAATTATCATTTTGGTACTTTATGGGGCTGTTTGAAATGTTTTATAAATTATTTTCAAACATACGCAAAGGATGTAAAAAAAAAATGTGACCTCTCAACTGTCATTTCACTTTTAGGGAAAGCTCTAATTCTTGGATCTTACTTGCCAAGTGACTATTCGTTAAATATTCTAATCTAGAGTTAGAAATGGTGTCCCCAGGGCCAGAAGTGAGTTTTGTCTGATTTCATGGGTTCTTTCAAGAGATGCCCAGTCAATACTGCTTTAGTTTCACAGGTGAGGAAGTATGAGTTTCAGAGTACCCAAGGGAGTCACATAGTAAATCAGTCACAAAGCAAGAAATGTATGTATGGGGGTTTTAAAAAGTTTCTGGAAGGGCCAGGCTATGGCCTGGTGGTTAAGTTAGCTGGATCGCACATGGCCAACCACACGGGCCAAGTCTGGGATCTGACAGCTTCAAAAAGATGTCAGGCATGAGAGTGTGTGTCCAAAATCCCCAAAAGAAGGGAGAAATGAAATTGAAGGGATTACAGAGCAACTATGGCCCATGGTGGTGGTGGTGGGGGGTGCTGTCCCTCTCTTTTTCCATCTCTCTCTGGCAAGTGTACACATTTTCTGGCAAATTAAAAAAGAAATTTGTGGAAATGGAATTAAAGTATGAGTTAGGTTGGTGCAAAAAAGTTTTGAAATCCACACATAACTTTTTCATACTATGTGTTTACTATAAGCTTTTAGATGACCCCCTCATATGTTGGGAACTATGCTAATGTGTTTTTAGAAGAAAAAAAAATGCTAGCAAATACCCAGGTACTTCTCTAAAGTCATTATTTTGCTAAAGTAATTATAGTGCTGGCAGTATGTGTCTGTATACATGTGTGTGTCTTGTGGATGCTGCCTGAGAGACAAGTGGCCTGTGGTTGGGGCCCTGGCAACTTCCCTCACCTCTGGAGTGGACACCCGAGGTGCTTCATTGGAGTCGCTGTCAGTGGTGCTGCTTTCAGTGTCCGAGTCCGACTCCTCAGAGCTGCTCTCTGACTCGCTGGAGCTGCCAGAACCCCCACAGGCTTGCACTACGGGTGGGGGCTGGGGTGTGGCCAAATGTGGGCTGAAAGAAAAACATCATTCATTGCCTTATTCAGTCTCAAACCGGATGGCAAACAGCCCAGGTTTATGAGATACAGGCCAGATGGAGTGTATTGTCCCTATTTTACAGATGGGAAACGTGAGGCTCAGCACAGGCCCAGTGACTAGCCCGAAGTTAAAGGCGTGATTCAAACCAGGTCTGCTTATATCCAAGTTCCCCAGCTGCCAGTCACAATAGTGTCTTCCCTCCCAGGGAAGCATTGTCACCCCCCACTCTACACAAGAACTTCTAAGTCAAGATTGCTTGCTTTCTGGATGCAGATAGAAAAGCTGAGTTTTACATTCTTAACTGGCCCTTTTTGTCAGTTATGATGAATTTTCTTATTCTGGTGTTATCTTGTTCAAAACCCCACAGGTTTTTTAGTGGCTCTGATCTCAGCTAAAAATATGGTATCATCCTGACACCAAGAAGGAGGAGTATGACTCTCCTTTTAATGATCAGAAACTGAAGCCTAAACAGGAGGAGAAGCTTGCCTTGGGCTCCCAGCTATTTAAAGAGCTGAGACTTTCACCTAGCACCATGGCCTCCAGCTCCCTCGAAGGTCGAAGGTCGAAGGTTGGTGGCTACACCCAGCACATTAACTGTTCAGGGCCCAGCACTTGACAACAAAGTTACTAGGTTGGTCTTCAGTTGCTATCTGTTGGGTGTGTGAAGACATCAAAATGTTCATGAAAATGTGGGATTATTAACTTATTTCGGCACAAAAATAATTTGAAATTCATGTATAATTTCTTCATAATACATGTATTTCATGAACCTTCTGAAGCCTCCTTGTATGAATAAGGGAATGAGAGAATGTACTTCTCAGACTTCTCCATGGAATTTTTGTAAGCCCTTTTTTTTCCCTCTTCTTATATTTTACAATCACTGTACATCTTTATAACACACAAAATGGATTTTCCTAGCTAGAATACATAGTCCAGCCAAAGACATTACTGCACACATTATCACCACCAGATAATTTTCCATTTTTGTGTTTGTTAAATGATTTTGTTTCTTTTTTTCTCTTTGTTTCTTGATTTCCTTTGTAAAAATTCTACTAGAAGGTATGATTATAAGTGACCAACTGTCTTTAATGATTGATTTAAAATTTGTAAAGCTGACCAAGCAAAGCATTTAGAAAGTGACACTATTTGCTACTCTGCCTTTACTGATAATCGATACTCCTCCTCACCAATCATTTGCTCTTTGCACCCCATAGCAAATCAACCTCAGCCTCCTCTTGGCAAGTTGGTCTTTGTCATCGCCTTTCTGTCCTTTTGCTCACTGTCTCTTTGGACTGAATTGTGTTCTGCTTTGTCTCAGAAATGAGGCTGGAAACGTGTGTGTGTGTGTGTGTGTGTGTGTGTGTGTGTTCTTATCTCCTCTTTCTCTTTAGCCCAACTGCTTTTGGAAATTACTTTAGCTCGTGTAAGGGCTGGGCTGGGGCCAGAGCATCATCACTGCTGTGCTAGGTCTGGCCACCTGTCTCCACAGTTATCCTTCTGGCCCGCTCTGTCTCTCATATGCCCCACACTCCCCAAATCTGAAACAGCAGCTCAGTGTAGAGAGTCCAATACTGGCCCTGGAGGGTGGCCCAGGGACCACCTGGTCTGGTGGCCCTACCTTCAAAGCTGAGAAAGTAGGACCACTAAGACTCCCTCTCCCACCTCCCACCCTGCCCTGCACAAGATTCTGGAAGCACAGACTTTGTTTTTTGCTGAACTCAAAGTAGTTCAAGTTCCCACCACACTGCCCAATCAGAGTTCCTCTCCAACATTCAGCTCTCGCCCATAGTGAGCTGGCTTACCTGTGGCTCAGGAAGGAGTAGGATCTATCTGAAGCTAGCATGGGGTCCTCACTGGTCCCCACCCAGCCTTTCCATCACAGGTACCTCTCCTCCCTATGGCCTGACCCTTTAATCTCATAGGTAGCCATTTTCTTCCACTGAGTAAGAGCTCACTTTTTAATGAAATAAGTGCTATAGTCAAATACACCAAGAGATAAGGGGAAATCACAAGAAATAAGGGACTATATCTCCTGGAGATGTGTGTGTTTTCCCAATGGTCAGGGGTGGGGGAGACCTATAATTCGGGCTCTTATTACCCTACATTCCTTTGCATGTCTATCTTTTGTATAAGTCAGCCTGGACTCTCTATTTATGGAAAGTCCCCTGTAAATCTAATCAATAGTTTTTGTCTTTGGGTACTAAATAAAGATTGAGAGACTATATCTAAGTGAGATTAATTGGCCTCAATTCCACCCAAGTAAAGTTTCAAATATGACTCAGAGCATCTGCAGTACTGAGAATGATGGGTGGTGGATTGAGGATAAAATTTAATTTGTATTCACATTTGTGGCTTTCAAGCAAAAAGGGTGTTTCCTAGTGTTCTTTCATATCTGCACTGATTTCTGGCTTGTCATAATAAGCTGGTCATCCTGATACCCAAAGTAAAATAAAACAGACTCTACATTTACTATGTGATATTTCTTGAAAAAGTTACCATTTAGTGGCTTATATTTGAGCAATTTCTGTAATATAAAAAACCATCCAAAGATTTACTCCCTCTAAACCAAATGCACTGAGATTATATACATAAAGCACAGATGTTTTATTTACCAAAATCAACTTATTCCTCAGCTAACTAAAAATAAAAGCTTCATGGATTTGGTAGACATTGTGTGTGTGTGTGTGCTTGTGTGTGTGTGTGTGTGTGTGCGCACACACGCATATGTACAAGTGCTCCTTATCCAAAGTCCCTCTATGGACAGATGTATCTTAGTATTCAGATTTTAAAAAATATTAAAAAGTAATATGGTTAACATTCCATACATATAATACTCTCAGTGAGATCTGGAGGACCACCCTTTTATAAAAATTGTTAATATTGCTGCAGTAATATTCATAGAAAGAGGAATTAATAAATAATTTAAATAAATATATTCCTACCTGTAG